CCATGACATAATACAGTGTATATCAAAGTAACTTGCTATTTTACGAGGTACAGAAGTGTTCTTGAGGCACAGGCACCTGACGTTACTTATTTTTCTTTTAATAAAAAAAAATATACACATACCGAATAATAAACCTTGTTTATTATTCGGTATGTGTATATTTTTTTTATAAAAAGAAAAATAAGTAACGTCAGGTGCCTGTGTCTTGAGGGTCTGTTTAGAGCGGTTAACAACACTGTTTCCCCCCAGTTTTTCAGACTCCCATAATTTGACTGTACCATCATTGGTCTGTGGCAAAGAATGCTTGGTCTTCAGAAACTTGAATCCTGCTAGTAAATAACACATTCTTTTTAAATTATGTACATGTACCAGTATATAATAAATTATTTGGCTAAGGCAGTTAAATTTCAATAAAGTCATTGCTGATTATTATTACATAGAAACAAATGTTAGTGTTTAGAAGAGTTATTCCCCTTACACTCTTCTTTTCATACAGGTCATTAATCAGTACTTTCTGTGCCCCCTCTCTACCTGTTGACTGCTGCCCTGTGTTAAGAGAGGTGGGCCACCAGTAGTCCCTTGGGTTTCCAGTTACTGGGTGGGGGTCTCCTCTCCCAGGGTTTCCAGTTACTGGGTGGGGGCCTCCTCTCCCAGGGTTTCCAGTTACTGGGTGGGGTCCTCCTCTCCCAGGGTTTCCAGTTACTGGGTGGGGGCCTCCTCTCCCAGGGTTTCCAGTTACTGGGTGGCGGCTATCTCTAGTAAGTCTTTAGACTCCGCCGTGTACAACTTTCACTTCTTGTGCAATGTTCCTCAGGACTTTTTACAGGGATATTTGGCTGTAATTCAAAACATTTTTTTAGGATTAAATGTTTCAAATAGCAGAAGTATTTTAGCACTTAAACATATAATACAATACATTCAGTAATACGTGTATATCACATGTTTACCACCAAAGTAAATTAACATTTTCAAGCAAATTAGTTACTTATACATGGAGGTTCCTACTGGTGGGTTATTGTTGGTGCCTTATTCTCTGTCAGTGATCTAACTGACCCCTAAGATGACCCCTGACTCTGTGACATCATAACAAAAAGCATGAAAAACTTCAGTAAAGCTTCATGCCTTTCATTCTATCTTAAGAATACAGTCAGTAGTATTTACAGTACACAAACCTGAAAGTACTTAGAACCACTCCCGGCTGTTTTGGATCTTTCTGTTTCAGTAAGTCAGCAAGTCTCCTGGTTATGGCTTTACACAGGTCCACCATACAGAATCAATGGGAATACCCAGACTATTGTTGAGTCTCCACAGACCTAAACTGAGAACTGGGAATTATCTATCAAAATCTAAACCAATAGTGAAAGCTTCTCTGAATTTAGAATAGAGAAATACTGTAGACGTCTTTAATTTCACGTGTTTAAAATTTCACGGTTTGTTAGAAAGTTACCTTTCACGTTGGTTTAAATTTCACGGAGAATTGTTTGTAAATATTCAGGTACTATGACTGTGTATTGGTAGAAATGACGTGAAATAATAATCACGATGGTTTAAAGTTCGCGGAAAATTCTTAAATCGTGAACATAGTGAAATTAAAAACACCGTAATGTTTTCCACTTCTACAGTATACAGGAACATGCAGTTTATGAACAAATTTTACTGTCAGAAATAAAGTTGAGAGCTTGCTTCAACCCTGCTTTAGATCTGTTTAATTTCATTATGTAATCTTTCAAGGCGTGAAAACAAATGCAGCTCAGCATCAGAAACTGATGGTGTCACTCTCAAGTTACTGTCAGATACTTAGAATATGAGCCTTATAATTAATATGTCATACAAGTGTGAAATACAATACATGTGTAATTATAAACTAAATATTGTACTTACAAGAAGGTTGTCTTCATGTGATTCATCCATACCAAAGGAAGACAACTCTTTTAAAATTGTACAAGGAGACGCAACCTGTTTATTGAGTGAGCATTCATATCTGTTAATCTAGTTGACAAATAAAGCTTTTGCCAAACAAATGACCACTCACTTTTTCTTCGTGGTGAATGGACGAAATCCGGCCATATTCTTGAAAGGAAAACAAAGATTTGAACATAGAAAAAGCCTTTGAGTTGAAACCCCCTATGTTAACAAACCTTGAACCCCGTTAGGCACAGCAGAATTTGGTCACAAAAGTTCATATTTCTTACAGAAATCGATATTGTTCAAGGAGAAGAAAGTTTACATGGTTTTTTTTTTTGTATCAATCTTTATCTATCATCCTTAAAATGAAATTTAAACGTCTGTTTTTGAAAATAAAAGAGCAAAGAATATCAGCGACATCTCAACTTTTTTCAGTCGACTGAACTGTCTAGAAGTGTTGGCATAAACCGTAAAGCTTTCAACCAGCCTATTGCACTAAATTGGTAGGTAATACATTCTTACAACCCGTGCACATGTCATTTGGCTCCAAATAATTCATTAGCAGAGAAATATGACAAATATATTTTCCAAATGCCAAAAATCACCGCTTCGGAGTTGAAACCCCATATGTTACTTAACCAAAACCCCGTATGTGCCCCTTTACACGGTGATAAGCTACAGATTCTGTAATGCAAAAATATGGTGCAATATATTTTGCGCGCTTTTGGAGGGAATTTCTCCCCTTTCAAGCATTTGTCAATCAACCATGCACATTTCACTCCTTAATTCAAGACACATTCTGTAGCCAATATGTATATTTTATAACCTCCCAACCCTATATACTCGTCTTTACAAAGGTGATAAACTCGCTTGATTAAAATTATTTGTTATATTTCTGAAAATTCACTTTTAGCGACTTTATTGCCTAGCTGTAGAGACAACTATAAATGGTTGAAAGGTGGAAAAAAAAAACAAAGATATAAAACCATAACGCTATAGATCTGCAGCTAGATAATTATAAGATTTTGAACATTCGTGCAATTAAAAGAAAATGTCTGCTTTGAGAGTTTATGTTAAGTTTATTTTATTGCAGTTTTCGTATATCGATCCTTAATTGTATAGGGGCGTAGCAGGGGGGGGGGGGTGGCCGCTCACTTTTTTCCCAACCTTACAGTTACTTTAGGAAATATTAATTGAAAACCTTGTTGTTGCCCACCCCCTACTCCCTTTTAGACTTTTTAAGTGATGTACCTAAAATGGAGCATTAGAATCAGATTTCTGACTTTGGGCAAACTTTTTTTTTGGGCTTGTCAACTTTTTCAGTTCAGGTAATTAAAAAAAATGGTGTGTTCCCATTTCGCCTTAACTGTGAATAAGAGGTAAGAAAAAGTCCAAAAGTAATAAGGCAAAATGGGAATTAAGTATTTGTGAATATTATTACTAGATTGTTATAAAAATTTAAATGCTGAAAATGTTTAGATTAAATCTAACAATAAATGGGAATCTATGTATATTGTAAATGAAATAATCCATGTAATACAAAAAATACTTTATTTAAAAAAAAAATCCCCATCACCTTAATTCACCTGAAAACTTACTAAGGCGAAATGGGAATGCTGAATTTTACAGTTAAGGCGAGACGGGAACAAACAAAAAATTTCTCTGGCTGCCAAATTAACATATATTCAAATATTTGTACCTATCTTTAAATAATTTTACCTATCTTCAATTGAATTGTACCTATCTTTAATTGAATTGTACCTATCTTTAATTCAATTATACCTATCTTCAAATGAATTAGAGATAGGTAAAAATCAATTATACCTATCTTTAATTCATTTAAAGATAGGTATAATTGATTTAAAGATAGGTACAAGTGAATTGAACCTATCTTTAATTACTAAGACATTGGCAATAACAACTACTCCTTTTATCATACGTCATTTCCGATACGTCTCAGCTTTACATCTTCATTTGGCTGCCCCACTGCGGGACGTGGAGACCGGTCCTTCGGATGAGACCGTATAAACCGAGGCCCCGTGTCGCAGTAGGTGTTGGCACGAAAAAGATCCCTCACTGCTCAAAGGCCCTAAGTGCCGAGCATAGGACAAAATTTGTAGCCCTCCACCGGCAAGTGGTGGCGTCTCCATATGAGTGAAAAATTCTCGAGAGGGACGTTAAACAATATACAATCAATCAATCAATCAATCATTTGGCTGCAATACAAGATAAACAATGTACCTACGTGATATAAATGTGTACTTTTATAAGTATAGATGCTTTTTGCACATTTTGAATTAACCTTTATTTTTCCTTTCATCCTTTTTGTCGTTGCTCTGTAGGTTCTGTGTGTTTCCCTCCATACTCCATATTGTCTCCAAGGGAGCGTTCTTTATTACCAACAACATAAAACGAATTGAACCTAGGTATAATTGAATTGTACCTATCTTTAAATCAATTGTAGATATGTCTAAATTAAACCTATCTTCAAATCAATTGCACTTATCTTTAAATCAATTATACCTATCTTCAAATGAATTAGAGATAGGTATAATTCATTTGTATTAGGTATAATTATTTAAAGATAAGTATAATTAGTTATACCTATCTTTAATTCAATTGTACTTATCTTTAATTGAATTGCACCTATCTTTAATTCAATTGTACCTATCTTCAATTCATTTGAAGGTAGGTGCAATTATTTGAAGGTGCAATTATTTGAAGATAGGTACAAATATTTGAATATATGTTAATTTGGCGTTCCATAGGTACACGTGTATAGTTCATATAATCACAAACGTCTACAAAATTAAGGGAGTAAATATTTCAAAGACTTTTCGTATAGACAAAAATATGATGGATATATACAAAGCTGGATATACAAGATAGACAGGGTGATTCTAAAGTTCATTTTCATTGGTTTAATGACCATATACGGTAACTATTGTTATTAACACCCCTTGATTTTAATCTATTTTAATTTAAACGTACTCTCTACATTGGATGATATATAGATAACTGAGGTATTTAAATCATGTGACCTGGTAGCAGGTTAACATTCAGAACGAAGACAAGGAAGTAAATTGTGAGGTACAGGATTATCAGGGAGGCCATGTTGGATTTAGAGGTGATGCTAGATTATATTACGAAAATTTAACATATTTAACTTGCTGAAAAACATTTCAAGATATCATTATTGATTTCAAGTCTTGTACACTTATAATACATTAGATAAATTGCTTGAGCGGGCCACTTTAGATAGATTAGATAGATCATATTTATTAACTACATGAACTGTTTTGGCTGTTATCTAACATTTTTTCATTTTTTTTTATCAAACATAAGAAAAGTTTACATGCCAAATTAAAACTGCAAATAGATCCTTCCTATTATTTCTAAACCGACACTGTCTTACAATTTCTCTAACAAAACATAACTCTTATATTTTATTTATTTTAAAATTGCTTAACATTTCTGTTGTCAGTGAGCCATGCCTACATTTACTTTATACAGAGTCATCTGATTTTTTAACCTAAACCCACAGTGATGGACCCCCTGGACAGAGCTCAAGTACTCCTCCTCTGTGACCAGTGTCAAAAAGCTGCATTACAGAGTCATTGTGAACTTTGTCAGATTAACCTGTGTAAGGCCTGTGTAGGGGAGCATCTATCTGATTCATCTAAAAGACACAATGTTGTACCATACAAACACAGAACCGCTATTCCTAACGTAAACTACCCAAAATGTCCAAACCACACCCAGAAACACTGTGAACTTTACTGTGAGAAATGTGACATTCCTGTCTGTTCTACCTGCATCTCCTCTGGGAAACATCATGGGCATAAATTAACAAATGTCTTACAGAATCCCAGCTTTATAAAAGAAATTTTAAACAACGATTTGAAAGAACTAGAAAAAAGAATATGTCCTACATATGAAGAAATTGCATTAGATTTAAACTCTGAAATAATCAATTTGGAAAAAAATTATGAGAAACTGACAACAGCTGTCACCAAACAAGGAGAAGACTGGCACAGAGAAATTAACATCATTGTCAACAAACGAAAATCTGAAATTGATGAGATGAAATCTAAACACCTGGCTGCTCTAAATAAAGAGGAAAATGAAATCAAACAGATTACTTCTGATGTTACACAGAGCATTTTTGATCTGAAGAAAATATTAGATTCCAATGACGTCTCCTTAGCCTCTGCCTATAAATCAAAGAATGCTGAGTTCAAAAGTTTACCTCCTAAAGTCAATGTTTTATTACCAAGTTTCTCTCCTCATCAGATAAACACAGAACTGCTCCATCAAATGTTTGGTTCTCTGTCATCATTATCCAATACAATAGTGTATCACTATCTGGAAGTACATTACACACTTGGATAAAAAGTTTCAATATTGTACACAATACACAACATATTTTCATTCAGTTTTATTTTTGCTCCCCTACACTTTCAAACTAATATGCCTTATTTTAACTAAACTTAGACTAAGCTGTGTTTTCATATTAAAATTACCCAATTTCAAATTCTCACATTGGTGAAGAAGGTATAGAAAACAAGATGTGTTTGTGAAACACTATGCGCACGGCGGCAACAAAGTTAAAAAAAAATATATTTAGCATAAAGGTCACAGACAAGGTTACGAGGACATTGATCATGATGTCATTTAAAAGAAATTGATTAGTGAAGTATGCATATTAAACATAAAAGTCTCTATCTCTCATAGTTCAAAATTAATGATGAAGTTTCAAAAAGGCTATTTTTAGAATGTAGGAAACAGTCAAGGTCACAAGGCCATTGATCTTGGTGTCATTTGAAAGGACTTAATCAGTGGTGTATGCATACCATATATGAAGTCTCTATCTTTTATGGTTCAAAAGTTATGACGAAGGTTAAAGTTTGCAGGAAAACAAGAGGCCCACGGGCCTTATAGGTCACCTGAGTATCATGTAACAACTTTCCAGCGATTGTATTTGGTTCATGTTTTAAGCCAAAAGCCATGAAATTCACGAATTTTGAAAGAGGCACCATTGCTTATCAAAGGGCAGATTTCAAAGCCTTAATTTATTTTTAGTCAAAGTACCCCCTTGGTACCCCTGACCCAGCAGCCCCGAAATCATCTATTTTGAAAGAGGACCCTTTCTTCATTATAAGGCCAGCCTTTTTTTTATGTTTAGGTTTAGTTATGAACATGAGAATAAAAAAGTCTCGAAGGAAAAGGAAATAATTTTTTTTGATAAATCAATTATTAACATTTGTACATTCTTTTTTTATGCTATCCTAATAGGCTCCTTGCCACTGGACACATAATGCTTACAAATAGGAAAGTAGAACATTTAATTGCTTATTTCATCATCTGCCAGTTTGGGCCAGTTATATAAATTTTGTGATGTTGATCAAAATATATTTTAAAAAATCAATTCTTTAAAAGTCTTTCAATACATCTTCATTTAAATCTTAATATGTGTTAGGTGAATGTGTAGACATTGTTCTAAAATTTACTTGATGCCTAAAATTCTATTTCCTATCATAAAACAGACAGGAAGTATTGGGGAGTAGGGTCCACATTTTTTTCAATCAAGTGTAAAATAATTTTTCTGGCTGATACAAATGATACTACATATATTTGTATATTCTTGCCTTTTAATAGTTGAATTTTTTTTCTTCACTTCAGGTTATTGTTTATTTCTTCCTCAAATGGACTTCACTTCTCCCACACAGTAGTTTTATTCATTATATCTAATGCATAAGCATCCGTTTTCTGAAGAATGATGCTTAGACTGTAAGCTATAACAGAGACCTAAACAATGTCCCTGGCAATATGCAATAGCTACCACGGGCAGTTTAAAACCTGGGGGAGGAAAATAATTTACAGTTACTTTTGAAACGAATACATAATTATCTCACCAGCATGTCATTGTTCAACAAAGTCGTCAGCATTTTTTTGTCTTTTGAACGGGTGAAACTTTTTGAATGGCACTCTAATCGATGAATTTTACACTAAACCATGCTAAATTCTTGGATCTAGCTTTTTTTACCCGCCGTTTCATATAAAAACCGGAAGTGCGAGTTCGTAAATTTGAAATCTTGATCCCAACTCAAATTTGACATCGGAAAGAAAAAAATTGTTTTATTTTTTCTCTAAAAATTCAAAACGTTGAAAACTGAAAATAAAATAAATCCTGGCCTTAGATATGTAATTAGATCATAAGCATATTAACCAAGAGCAAAGGATAAGATGTTCAAAGAATTCATACATTTCACTATATAATCATTAGAGCCCCACCCTAAAACAAGAACCCCTGACCCTGGGGCCATAAAATTCACAATTTTGGTAGAGGCACTCTTGCTCATCATAACTATGTACTTAGTTAGTTTATTTAATACCCAGGAGCAGAGAACAAGATTTTCAAAGAATTAATGTATTTTCACTATATAATCAATAGAGCCCCGCCCTAACACCAGAACCCCTGACCTTGGGGCCATGAATTTCACAATTTTGGTAGAGGACTCATTGCTGATTACAATCATGCAAACAGTTTGACTGCTTGATGTCCAGGAGTAAAGAAGAAGATTTTTAAAGATTGCACTAATTTTAATGGTTTTGGCCCCACCCCTCAGGCCCCAGGGGGGCAGGGATAATGAAATTCACAATTTTTGTTCCCCTTCACCCATAGATGCTTTGTACCAAATTTGGTTGAAATTGGTTCAGTGGTTGCAGAGAAGAAGCTGAAAATGTTCAAATGTTAACGCACGACGAACGACGCACGACGACAGACGAAAACAGATAGCAATAGGTCACCTGAGTTTACTCAGGTGACCTAAAAACTATTTTATCACATATTTTCCCCTTTATCCCGTTGATGTAGCTCATGTGATAACATTTTCGTATCAACACTATGTACTCCTACGCCGCGTGACGTAATGTAAATAAACAAATACATGTACGTATATGATGGAGAGAATGACTTGATTTGTCAAATTTCACTTTATTTGATGTATTTTAACAAAAATTCATTCATGAATTAAAAAAAATAAGCGCTGAAATATTTTCTTTCTTTTATATTTGTACGAACTATTTCATACAGCGTAATTTTATTTACTACGTTATTTGGTCTGAGGTAACCGAAGAGGAACTTAAGAAATTACGACAATATACACATTAATAGCGAACAAAATGTGTGATAAAAAGAATCTCCCATGGTTTGTAATTTGATATGATTTTTATCCAACTCGTTGTGTGTTTTCTATTCCCTCGCCAAGGCTCGGGGATAGAAAACACACAACTCGTTGGATAAAAATCATATCAAACCACAAACCATGGGAGATCCTATATTTAGCATATAAATCACTGTCAAAATCACAAGGTCATTGACCTTGGTGTCATTTGAAAGAGCTTCATTAGTGGAGTATACATATTAAATATGAAGTCTATGCTATTCATGGTTCAAAAGTTATGGTGAAGGATCAAGTTTGCAGACATCAAGTTTGCAGATAAACAGACAAACTGACAGACAGACAGGACAAAAACAATATACGCCTCAGACCTTTCCATCCAGGCACATAAAAATTGGAGGTAAATCACTTCCCAGCGTACAGTTAGACTCATTTCACTTAGAAAAAAAAGATGAAAAGGCATAAACTCATTTGTACCACATATAAAAGACATGAGATATAAATATCCCGACTAACCTTGAAGCCTCCTAAGTTGTGTGTGTCTGCGAGTCTGACTCTGATACGTATATGTCTGCTGATTGACAGGAACGCAGTGAATAAAATAATACTCCAGGTGGCGCCACAACATAAACAGACAGTTCTCCAAGATGTCTGCAGCACAGTCAAGGGAGATTACTACCATTTATGTTTTCTGTTCTTGTTTTTTTATGTTTCTATTTATCCACATGTTTAAAATTGTACAGTTGTTGCCAAATGAAAATAATTGATTCAACTTCAAACAAAAACTTTAATGTCGCCAACATCATAATATTAGGCTTCATTTCAAAAGGATACAAGCAAAGTACTGCAGTTGTTCCTCTTTGTAGTGTACGATTTTGGTGAGGCGAGTTTTAGCGAGTTTCTGTCTCTGATGTGATGTGAGCTTCTCTTCTACTCCAGAAAACTAAATAAACAGATTAAAAACATTATAATATAAAAATAAATATACATAAGACATATATTCTTAATGACTTAACAAGATGTGTTTGTGAAACTCTATGCGCCCGGCAGCAACAAAGTTCAAAAAATCTATTTTTTGCATATTGGTCACAGTCAAGGTCATTGACCTTGGTGTCATTTGAAAGCACTTAAGGTAGGATTCTCCTCATATTTCTAATATTTAAAAATCCATGAAATTTTCACAGAATCAAGAAGACAATATCAGTAAGTGATAGTATCAGTGAAATTAAATTTGACCGTTTTATATTAGAAGCAAGGTCAGGCCAAGGTCATTATCTTTTTCCTTCACATTTAGAATAAAAAATACTGTTGCCAATCATGTAATACCTACTTGTATTTCAAAAGTTTAATGATTGTTATTTTTGCATAAAAATATATTACTATATCGGGTCTATAGCATGATATTACCAAATTTTCATAAATAATTTTACTTAACTGGATATTGTCTAATCTGAATTTTCTCATTTTCTCAGTTTTTCTTAATTTTTTTTAGGATATATTAGTTATTTTCATATGCTTCCTATATTTACCTTTTTCTTATTTTCACATATAATAAAGTAGTCTTATAAAAGTACAAAATGATACAAAAACAAAAAGTTTTGATCGTTTAATAAGAGAGAAAAAATACTTTTTATGGATTTTTGGCTCAAATCTGCACTTTGATAGGAAGCGTTTAAAAGCTAACAAAGTTCTAGATTGTTTGAAAAATCATATTTGTTTGATATACATGTATCATGAAACCTCAGTCCCTCATTATTTATTTAACTTACATTTGAAAATTTCTCCAAGTCTTTGATTGTGTAAAAATTATGGCTAAATTCATTGTTTTATTATAATTTTGAGAGGCAGAAAAGAAGATATTTTCATACGCCACCATTCCGCCAAAAATATATTCCCTGCTAGTTTTTAAACGCAATTTACCATTTCTATTTAAAGTTGTACATTTCTGATGAGGAAAGAACCAGAAGTCTCTGTTGAGACTGTAGCTCTACTGGTATGTACTTATCAATAACCATTGCACTATTTGATGTATCTTTGTGTAGTCTACTTGTGTGCCAACTTATTTTGAAATCAAACTAAAACTGTAGAAGGAGAAGTGTTTTTGAGGAATTTCACAGTAAATTCTATTTTTAGTAACCATGGCAACACCGTTCATCGAAATTAAAAACCGATGCACTATTCTATGTATCTTAGTGTAGCCTACTTGTG